AATATCCATCACCCATTTTCTTCCTTCAACTTCATATCTCCCCAACATTCCCACCTAAATGTTTTCTTTTAAAATTAGTTTTGGTAATCACTAAGTCAAATTAGTGCTTCCTATGTGTGCATACATGTGCAGCCACCTAACTGGCACATGGGAAACCTACCAATAGCCCTCAAAAAGCAGATTCTCCTTACCTCCCCCAGCAGCCATTACTTTCCTTATAAGCAAGTAGGGAGTTATAAGGAGAAAGTTTTCTTATCTTTACTTTTCATGGTATGTACTCACTCGTATATGGATATTAGACATAAAGCAAAGGATTACCAGACTGCAATCCACACCTCCAGAGAAGCTAGGAAACAAGGAGGACCATAAGAAAGACATACATGGTCCAATGGTGAAGGGGAAAGAGATAAGAGCTCCTGAAAATTTTGAGAGCATGGGGGAGAGGGGAAGAGAAAGAGGCAGAAGAGGAGGGGGGAGGAGAACATGAGGGATCAGGATGATCGAGTCAGGAGATGAATAGAGGAGGGCAAGAAAAGAAACAACATCAATAGAGGGAGGCATTATAGGTTTAAAGAGAAATCTGGCACTAGGGAATTGTACAGAGATTCACAAGGATGAACCCAACTAGGAACCTAAGCAATAGTGGAGAGGCTACCTTAAATGCCCTTCCCCTACAATGAGAATGATGACTACCTTAAATCCAATTCTAAAGCCTTCATCCAGTAGCTGATGGAAGCAGAAGCAGACACCCACAGCTAAACACTGAGCTGAACTCTGGAATCCAGTTGTAGAGAGGGTGGAGTGATGAGCAAAGGGGTCAAGACCAGGCTGGAGAAACACACAAGAACAGCTGACCTGAACAAGAAGCAACTCATGGACCTCAGAACGATAGCTGGGAACCAACATAGGACCAAACCAGGCCCCCTGAACGTGGATGTTAGCTAGGAAGACAGGGAAGTCTATGGGGCCTCTGGCAATGGAACCAGGGTGTATCCTTAGTGCATGAAGGGACTTCTTAGCCTAAGCCCTCCCCAAATGATCCCTAATGGAAGGCCTCATCCTCCCTGGGGAATGGATGGGGGATGGAATGGGGGAAGGTTGGTATGGGGCTTGGGAGGATGGGAGGGAGAGGGAACTGGGATTGATATGTAAAATAAAATTGTTTCTAATTTCAATAAAATTTATTTTAAAAATAAAACCAGCAAAAACCAAAATAACCCCATGAACTAACTCAGAACATCTTGCCCTCTGGTTCCTAGGGTCACAGTTTTGAAGGAATGGAGGAAAGAATGTCTATGGCATTTGCTTAGATGCAAAAATAACAAAGAAACACTAAAAGGAAAATGGGGGAAGGGCGTTCCTTCGACAACAACGGACTGTCCCTTGATGAGTGCACACAGCTCACATTTTCAGTGTCTATCCTGGTTGATTCCTGAGGAGCCATTAGGCATTTGCTTTATGAAATGAGAGCCCATTAATCTACAGGACAGAACTCAGCATTAACATCTGCACTTCAAATAAATTTCAGAAAGAAAACAGCATCAAACACACAAACTGTCACAAGGTACATCTGGGAATTACATTCTTAAGGGATATATAATTATGACTTAATGAAGGATCTAGAATTTAATTTCTAGTGTAGTTTTAGTATAATGAAATCTTTAGTTCATATCATCAACATAGAATAATTACAAATAAGGAAATCCACCAACAATATGTGATAAATACCAATATAAATTACACTTGTAGATTATTCTGATCATAGTTAAATGAATTGCTAATGATTTCAAACATATATATAAAATTTTATGGTGCTATCATTCTTGAATTATCACTGTCAATTCATTTAACACTATAAATTGATTTTAATTGTGACCATGATTGAGTGGGATTAGTCACTCAACAACATAGAAGTATTTGTTTTGACAGTTACAAGGAACTGGTAGGCAGAAGTTAGACACATTACCAGAGCCTATTAATGTTTTGCATATTTCACTGTGTTCCTATTCATTCCTTCTTACTTAAGGGTACATTGCATCAGCACCTATACAAATTCTTTATTTTTTCTGCCTTTTTAAGGTGTTGGTTGTATTATCTAATTTATAGTATCTGCTGACATGGGAAATCATAGAGTCATGTAGAGGAATTAAAAAGATATGCATGCTTACTATACTATCACTCATTTGCAAAACATTCAAGAATTGTAGTAGCTGAAAAATTCCTGCCCTTTGGAATATATTATGCGTTGCATGCAATATTGGTACCAGAGTTGTGCTGTGTTAAAAGGTAGAGTAAAGGTACCATAACATCTCAGTTTTAAAGTTCAAAAAATGTGGAGTGATGGTTAGGTGAGGACATTAGTAGGAGGCCTTATATCATATGCTATATGAAAAACAAATTTTAAGGATTTTAAAATCTTGAAGGAGATGGATAATATAACTATATTTAATCGATGTCTACAGGACATAGAAGACAATGGCTGACAAACTGCCAATACAGACAGGACAGGTTCAAATGTCCTGCTTCATTGAGAAGTCTCCCAGATACTGTAGGCCTGTAGGCTGAAGATGGATGCCCCAGTGTTACAGAAGAACTTTGGGTGATTATCCCAGTAGCCAGATAACTCGTTATTTCTAGAGTTTTGGAAGTTGCTTACAATGCACTTCCTGTTTACTTAGGTAATATTATATCCCTCTAGGGTCTTTGATGGAGTTGAAGACTAGATAGTTATAACTATAGTTTTACCTAGTTATGATAAAAGATAAACTAGATATGAAACTTTAGACTCACAAAGATAGAATAAATGACAGTATTTCCTTTACCTTTGCCAAATAAAAGTGGACTAAATATTATAACTATAATTCTTGCTTGATACCAGCTTTGGTATATGTAATTTTACAATGTTGAAAGTTAAAGCCTTCCTTTTTAATTAGGCAGAGGAGGGGAAATGATTTGGGATGTCCTGTATTCTGCGAATATGTGTTGCTTTTATTGGTTGATGAGTATAGCTTCTTTGCCCTGTGTCAGGGCAGAATATAGCTAGGCGGGAAATTCAAGCAAAGACACATGGAGAAAGAAGGTGGAGTCAGGGAGATGACAGCAGCCACTGGAAGAGTAAGATTACACAGCGTTACTAGTAAGCCATAGCCCACATGGTGATACACAGATTAATAGAAATGAGTTAATTTAAATGTAAGAGCTAGCTACTAATAAGCCTAAGCTAGCAGGCAAATAATTATAATTAATATTAAGCCTCTGAGTGATTACTTTATAAGTCGTTGTGGGACTGGGTGGAACACAGAAAAGCTTCTGGCTACAATCACCCAACATGGTCACTAAATCATCTTTATCAGATTCTTAATTTCCAGTGTTAATTATTTAGAGCCACATTTATTTAGCACAGAAAACTATCCATCTTTCAAAGAGAAAAATTCTGAGATCTGTTATCCATAATTTCTCAGTGGTCAATGGCCACTTAAGTTTCTTGGAAAATAACAATGCTGTATGGAAGTAGAATGGTATCTTCTTCCCTCCCGTGTAATTAGAATAATATTTAAAATGATGGCTACATTGAATAATTATATAAAAGATCTACTGTACAGTGATATGGCTCAATTAAAGAATAAAAGATACAAGAAAGACTTCACAATGATGTAGTGTTTGACCTCTTACAGCCATGTATTCTAACACAAACAGGAGAATAAAGCTAAAAGGCATTCAGTACTTAAAGGCATCTTAGTACCTGCAAATCCAGCTAAACTAATACACTTTAATTCTTCCACTAATATTTAGTTCCTCATGAAATTAAATGCAATTCAATTCTAAAATAAGGAAATATATAAGCAAGGATGGGATTCATTGACTTATGAGATTAGGTAATTCTGAATTTCAAGATGATGGAATTCATTTTTAGATATAAAGTGCTAAGTGCTGTGTCAGTAACTCTGAGCTGAAATTCTTGGACAAGAAGTGCTTAAAATTTGGTATATTCTTAGATTTCTTTTAGAAAAATGACATAGACTTAACCTGTTGAGCACTCTTACTCCTAAAATGAGAAATCTCAAGTCTTCTGAAATCTAAAACTCTCTGAGTGCCATCCCTGCTTCTGGACTTTCAGATGATCAATGTTCAATGTACTTTAAACAACAGATTAAATACAATTTTATAATATTTAAAGCAACAAGATATTGAGGAGCAATGCCCATGCAAGAAACTTAAAAATGCTTCTCTTTGGTAGTATCTTCCTCTATGTTTCCTCATGTTCCAACAGCGTGTATAAAGACAGAGATAGGACAGCAACACTCATACCAAACAGCATCTCAGTAAAGTTTTACTTTTAATATACAAACAAACCTTATTCAGTATACACAAAATAAAAGAGGCATTTCCCCTTCAAAGAAATATTTATTATGCAGTTAAATATAATAATAGCTCAAATGTACTCATATTACACCCTTGCCTGAAATATTAATTTCTCACTATACATATAACTTTATACTATAGGTATTTCTTAAAAATAGCTTTGAAAAGCTGTGAGAAACTCAAGGAAAAGAATAAAAGGTGTGGAGAAACACCAGTCTACCCAAGAGTTATGGACTTTCTACAATTGACACCTTTTCTTTGTTGTTCTAATAATGCTATAAAGTGCTGACCTCAAACACCTACCATTATAGGAGGAAAATGTGAACCACTCAAGAACATTAAGGAAGAGAGAAACACCTGTTATACCACTACAGCCGAGTAAAAGAATTTAGTTCATTTTAATCTGATGAAGTTGATTTTTAAAACAGAGTATATTTAAAGTTAAATATGAATACTTAGAATTTATTGTCTCACAGGTTGCATAATTTTAATGTTATAAAGTTTTGAAGCCCTAATATAGAAAGGAAATGTATTCAATGGAGTTAAAAAAAAGTCACCCAGCTTTGCTCTAGTCAATGATCATGCAGAAGAGAGCAAATATCAAAGCCTTTCCTCTTGTCTATTTATAAGTAGCTCACCTGGTTAGCAATCTGCCGAGCGAGAACATCCATCCTTGATCCTGACTCTGATATCATCTTAGCTGCATAGATTACATCAGTGGTATGCTTTAGTGGTCCTTTCCCCCTGAAAATAAATGATGATGCATATTAGTTTTGGTGGTTCATATGTAAATAGATATAATGACTATATACATGTCAATAGATACACCTTTTATTTCATTTATTTTATTTTCTTTTTTGAGGTGTGTGTATGTAGGTGTCTATAGAGACAAGAAGAAGGCATTGATTGTTTCCCATGGATCTGGAGTTATATGGGCTGTTGTTAGCCAGGCCCATGGGATATGGGAATTGAACTAGTGTCCTCTACAATAGTAGAAGCATTCCTTAACAACATAACAACTGAGCCACTTCTCAGCCCTAATGGACATTTATACTTACATAAGTAAAATATTTACAACCCAAAGCAGTAGCAATTATGCTTATGTGTTTTGCTGTTGGATAAACCCAAAGTATATTTAATTCTAGTCTGAAGAAATGAAATTAAAATCTATGGCTTCAAAATTAAGACAATAATACCTAAAAGGTAAATAGCAATGGACTTTATTCCAAGTTTTGTTATTATAATAAGACTCAGTTTAGAGATATCTTGGTGGACCCAAGTAACTAATGCAAAGGTCATTTATAGCCAAGATATACATCCAACCTTGCATTGTGAAAAGCCAGGTACTTATGATTTTTCTCTTTTAATCCATTCTGCACATTTTACAGCTAGCTGCAATATGTTTTGATCACATAATCTCTTCTCTATAATTAATTCAAATATAGACCACCTAAGGCTCAGAAATGTGTAATTTGGATCTTTAGTATTACAGTATAAATTAAAATTTCTTCTTTCTGTAGACCCCACAGTGTGCTGGTGTAGTTTTAAAGTATAGACACCTTGAGTCTAAACTAAGTGACTCCATTTATTCCACGACCTCTTCGAAGCAAAATTCTGTCAGCTTTGCTGCAATGATTCCAGTGATTTTTTCCCAGACCAAAATGAGTTTGAGCCTGAGAACAACTCATCAGGAATTCTGGAAAGGTATACCCTCTGTTTCTCTCCAACCATAATCCATCCTTTCTTGTTTTCAATAAAGGTGTATTATAAAATCAATTGTTGGACAAAGGTCACACTCTACACCCATCTTCATCAGTAAGAGAAGATGCCAGCTGCAGAGTAGCATCCTGGCAGCCTCTGTAAGGCTTCCCATCTTTTACTCTCAGCTGTCCACTCATACATTTTATCTCCTTCATTTTGTAAACTGAGCACGAGAGAAAGAAGGAACTAAGGCAGGGAAAAAGTATATGGTCCCAACCTCAGAGCATCCTAAGAAGTGAGTGAGTGAGTCTTAAGAATACCATCTATGCATTCATGCCCATATGCTTATTTCCTGTCATTCTTCTCTAAATCTACTTTTATGATTTTATATAGATATTCCTCTCTTAGGGTAAGGCCAAAAAAAAAAACAGTAGTATATCACAGTTCTTTTAATTACAAACCTGCATTCACATAAATTGGACTATTTCCAAAAAAAAAGCAAAAGCAAAAACCCATGTCCTACTGTTTGATTGTAACAAATCTGCACCTCCCTTTCTGTCTTCAGGGAGAGGGATAGCATTCAAGACACAAAGAATTTCTAAGGATTACCTGAGTTTGTTTCTCCAACGTGCCCTAAATATCATCTTAAATAAACTAAGTGATGAGTTTGATCTAGGAGGAGGTGGAGGAAAACAGATACTTGTCTGTGTTACTTTAAAGTGAATCAGGCACCTCCAAATTTCTATCATTTTACTAGCCACATGAGGTGTGCATACCTGGACTTGAAAGAAAGATGCATGTCCATTTTCTATTATCTGAAAAAATAAAATGATGAAAGACTACCTGAGCAGAGCTAGTTGTCCCACCCGAATATTGCTCCCCATTCATTTCCCAACCTCTGCTGAGCTCCAGTACACAGTCCCAAGTGCTGCCCTTCAGATTCTGGCCCTTGTCCCTAGAAGACAATGAGCCCTCGTGGTGTGATTCACAAGAGTGGTTATTCTATGATGGTGCAGAAAAAGGGGGGCGGTGATGAGCAGTGAGAGAGTTAACAGTAAGATAGGAAGGGCAAGAAGAGAAAGGTTCTGGTTAGTCAGGATAGAGATGGGGGGACAGGATATATTTGTCTATGTCTTATTGGAGAAATACATTTGCTTGCTCAGAAGGTGTGCTGGCTAGTTTTGTGTCAATATGACACAAGCTAGGGTCATCTGGGAAGAAGGAACTCCAGCTGAGAAAATAACCCCATCAAATTAGTCTGTAGGCAAGTCTATAGAGCACATTCTTGGGTAATGGTTGATAAAAAAAACCCAAAAGGCCCTAGCCCTCTGTAGGTGGTTCCATGCCTAGGCAGGTGGTTTTGACTTGTATAAGAAACCTAACTGAGCAAGGTGTGGGAGCAAGCCAGCAAGTAGCCTTCCTCTATGGCCTATGCTGCAGTTCCTGCCTCCAGGGTCCTACATTTCTTGTGTTCCTGCCTTGAATTCTTTCAATGATGGTCTGTGATAGGGAAGTGTAAGCCAAATACTTCTTTTCTCTCCAGGTTTCTTTTGATTATGCTCTTTATCACAGAAATAAAAAAAAAACAAATTAATACAGAAGAAGGGCTCTATAAAGAGCAGAGTGGCTTCCTACTCTGGTAAGTATTCTAAGAATCCTGCACCTGTAAGCTGAACACCCCAATGTGTGTCCCGTGTGTATACACCCCAAAGGCCTTTTCATTTTTCTTTCTTCAGAGTGCTTCTTGAAACTATTATCAGCAAGATTTCATCTAAAATAAACCAGGAAAAACTGAAAAATATCAGTGCATGTAACACAATAAAAATTGGCCTCAGAAATGGTTATCTCCACATGCCTTAAGTGCTGACACAGGTTTCTTCACAACTTAAAAGGAAAATCAACATTAATTGTTACAATATTTGAATTGGTCTTATCAAATTTGCTTTATGCATCAGGGAGGGCTAGAAGTTATGTACATGGTTATGTTCAAGGAAGGAATTGCATTTCATTATCTCTATGCGTCTCCAGAGAAAGTTAAAGCTAAATAAAGCTGTCTTAGCTCCCAAAAGACAATGCATCAATTTTCAAGGTCTTGAACAATGGACAAAGGTTGTTTCTAAGCAGAGCAGCCAAGCCTCTTTCAGCTTAAACAATACACAATGAGTTATATCTACAGAATGCATCTAATGGAGCCTTATCTGCAAAATAAGGTATGCCCCTGTATGAAAACCCTGGGCTAATAAAGGAGAAATTATTTCTATCTCCAAATACAAAACTTGTTATGAGACCATGATGTTAAAAGTCAGAGTAAGTTTTTGTATGCCTTCAAGTAATGATAATACACAATGACAAACCATGATTACTCCCTTCCACTCATTCTTAATTAGATGTATTGCCTGGCAAGCTTCCGTCTGAGTGCCAAAGAAAACACACATTTTACAAATGATTCCTTATCATGCCATGCTTCCAGACCAAGCTACAATTACTGAAACTAAGACAAATTTCGAATATTCCCAGCCTGAAACGTGCAATGTAATGAAGGCTTTTCAAATGGGGGATGTTATTTAGAGGTTGTCTGCAGCCTTTATCTTCGTAATGGATCCTCGTGATTTCTTGTTAGCAAAGTGTGCCTTAAATCACAGTGTTAGATGTTACAAAGAAAGATGTAGGAGAAGAATAGAGAGAAAGTGAAATACCTGGAAATATTTTTAAAAAGGCAGGAATTTTCTTTTATCACAAAGTGATCAAAATAATCACCTGTAACCCAACATGGAAGGCGTTGAGGAAGAGGGCTTCATAATGACTGTGTGAAGTTATTCTTGCTTGTTTCCCTTCCATGATGTACATATTTAAAGAACAACTTGTTGTACACAATTCATCTGTCAAATTTTTAAAATTACTTATGCTTCTAAGAAGACCTCAGTATGAGTCAGCAGAACCCGAATAAAGCTAGCCCTGTAGAAATCCAAGCACTCTTGTGGAGAAATGAGAAGCTGATGCATGAGAATCACCAGAAAGCCAGGGCCATCCTAGCATGTGACAAGCATTAGCCAACAAGAGAGGCCCTATCTCAAACAAAGAGGAAGGTGATGACTTTTCTTTCTTTCTCTTTGATTTCAATAAACAAGATGGAAACAATAAGCCACAGAGTTCCACTTAATAAACACAGTATTATTAGAGTTCAGGCTTAATAAACATAGTATTGAATCATTCCATCTTCTGTTTTTAGAAAAAAAGAAAATGATTTGGCATTTTGTGTTACCAATTAAACATAAAAGAGAAAACTTAATGATATTGTTTACATTTTGCAGCCTCTATATCTTTGAAATAGATATATGAGAACCATACCTTGCCATTCAATCCTCTTTTCCTTTGATATTAATATATTTGATTTATATATTATATATTTATATATTATATATTAAGATGAAGAGCATGATAAATGATAAATATTTCCTATGAAAATGAACACATTTATCATTTTTGCATTCTAGCCAAAGCTCTATATACATTATTTCATAATTATTATCACTTCTCTGTGATTTAAATGTGAAAAATTTTCCCCACTGTCATACATGTTTGAATATTTGGAGGTATTGTCTTTGGGGGTACAGGTAAGTGATGAGAAGTCTAACTCAGGTTCCATTCTAGCTCTCTACTGCTTGGTTACCCACAATTGAGAAGTTCCCACAAGATCTCGGCACCACTATTCAAGCTTCCCCAATTTCCATGCACCCACACATTGATAGGCTGTAATCCATGAAACCATTAGCCAAATTAAACCCTTCAATTCCTGTCAGGAATTTAGTGACAAGAGAAAGGAAAGTAATGAGTATATATCTAATGTATTTTCTGCCCCAGTGATAAGAAAATCTGACAAAAGTCAAATTGGGGATGCAAAGGGCTTATTCAACTTATACTTGCAGGTCCATCATTGAAGAATGCCAGAGCAAGGACATAAGAAATTGTAGCAGAAACCTTGGAGGAAAGCTTATGCTGGCTCAATCACAGACTTATGCTAACTAGCTTTCTTATAAAGCCTA